AAAGGTGTGGCAGGATTTCCAACAAAGAACTGGTACGTAATCAACACATAGTCAGATAGTAGTTTCCATTACCTAGAGTTTCATGCTCCACCTTGCGGTTGTGCAGGTATCTGCGCTTTTTCTCCTTAAGCAGGTGCTGCAGACGTTTGAACTGGTCGATGTAGAGGGACTGGAGCCGGATGAGCTTTTCTCGAGTAATAAGTGCCACTTCCTCAGCTGTGTATACCCCTGCATGTCTGCGATTTCAAAAAACAAAAAAATGTATTAGTCACCATAAAGTTCAGAAAGGAAAAGAGTTCTGTTACAGCTGTACTCATGTCTTCAAACTAGCTCCAACCAATGTGACTGGACAAGCACTGATATTACATTCCTTGTTAAACGCTTTTATCCAAAGCGACTTGCGTGGACAATCACCACAGGAGCAATTTGGGGTAAAGTGTCTTGCCCAGGGACTCAACAACATGCTGACTGCAGTGGGGTTTGAACCTGTGACCCCCTGATCCGAACACCAACACACAACCCACTGCGCCACACGCCTCCCCTGATATTAAGAATTAAAGCCCAATGAGGAATTTTAAAATACACACTATCAAGTACAGTATTTGCTTCGATGCCATTAAGCACAATGAGTGGGTAATGGACCACACAGAGTTCACATAACATTTTAAATCCAATTTTAAACAAAGGGAAAATGTGAGTTTGGTTGAAAAACTTGAGAATTGGCAAGATCTTTGGCTTACTTCAGAGGATCGTCGTGATCACTGTCAACGCTGTCTGCTTCACTGTCAGGGTCTCCTCTCCATGTTTGGTCTAGTACCAAAGGACCCTGCTCCTCCTCACTCAGACTGTCCTCATCTGTCGAGAGAGAGGTTAAAATCCTCGTCAAACATCTCATCATGCAGGAGAAATGAGCACACCATACCATCAGAGCTGCATTGAATTCAATGTTCTCGTATTAAAAACATTGACCATTAATCAATTTAAATTTTTTACAAAACTGGTACAAGTTAAAAAGGACATTCTTGTTTTCATAACCTTGTCCCTTTGTGGGCTATTTTGGACCCGTAGATGTTAAACTTTATTTTTTACTCGCACTAAAGAACTTCCAAAACCAACAACATTATGCGTGTGGCTTTAGTGCCGACCGCAGAAGCAACTGTGTGTATGATTAACAGATTAGATACAGGCCAGTTTTCCTGTGCGTGCAACATAAAACCATCATGCATGTGGTGATTTAAAAGAGGTAGTGTGGAGAAGAAATGTGCCACATGTGCAGGATTTACAATTTTAAAAAGAACAAGATCGCATGATGTGATGTGCATGTATAAATATGACTGTTTCAAACTAAACAAAACAATTGAAATATGGCACTAATGAACAGTCAGTGCAGTCTGAGTGGGCGGAGGTTAAGGACAAATCATAAAACAGAAAAATAGTGAAGAGTCAACCTGATCAAGAAACTGCCCACCAACTTAAAGTGGACCTATCATGCTATATTTAAATAATATAGTGTAGGACCATACCTACACAAGGCATATTTATACTTTTTTTTCCTTCAAAATACCAAACAGATCATGCATTTTAGCCATGCCTCATTTTGCTCAATTTGACATATTTTTGCTCTGTTTTTGCAAGGGCTGATTCTGTGAGAACAGCACCATCTACTGGCCTGGCATATGTACTACAGCGTCTCCAGCGCTTTCGAACGGCAATGGCCGTGGCTGTCTCCTCCTGATTGGTGGAGTTGGCCCAATAGCCGTAGCGCCACTATCCTGACGTCAGGACAGTGTTCAAATCTGGATCAGTTTTTATCAGATCCGTTGCAGCCCCTTTTTTAGAGATTTGGGTATGGAGGAAAATAGAGAGGGTTGTGTTTTCTGACACTTGGTGAGTTCCCTGGAACACTGGTGAGTTCCCTGGAACACCGGGGACACATATTCATGTATAAAAGACGTACAAAAGTGCATTTTGCATGATAGGTCCACTTTAAAACTAAAACCATAAGAGTGAGTTTTTCCTATACAAGAATAATCCTGTAATCATTTCTCAACATATGAGGCGGGTTATGGTAAATTACAAAAGGCTGAACTGTATTAATGATATTTTAGTGTTTGTGATTATGTCTGAGCTTTGCAGGGTTTGTACAGCTCACAGTGCAGCTCTGGTGGCAGCAGACAGTTTAATGAAAGTACTTGCAATAATAAATTCTTGTCGTCAGCAGATAAAGAAAAGTATACGATTTAAATCATGTCAAATTTAAAATATAAAAAGCATTAAACTACATTAATGATTTGGGGTTACGGGATTTTGTTCCTTCCAACTGAAATGATTAGCCCCTTTGTTTCTCTGGGAGAAATCAACAGACCACAGGAAGGAGTTCATGTTGGCGCCCTTTGAAACCTGCAGCTACGGCAAGCAGCACGTCTTGATCGGGGCCGAGGTGAATTAACAATATTTACAAATGAAAAATACTATATACTGTATTTAAAGTGGAGTGCTGTGGTGATTTAAAAGAGGTAGTGTGGAGACATGTGCAGGATTTACAATTTCAAAAACAGGATGTTTCGCATGATGTAATGTGCATGTATAAATATGACTGTTTCAAACTAAACAATAGGAATATGACACTAATGAACAGTCAGCGCCTCTTTACAAAGTGCTGATACAAGTCATTGCAGATGGGATAAACCTCTGTCCAGATCATTTACCTAGAATCCGACTAGCTTCAGAGCGGCCCCCGTCAGCGCTGTGAGTCTCTGCACGGTTGTATCCACTGAGCTGAGACAACAGAGACTCTGGGGAAGGACCAGAAGACGCCTTTCTCATCTGAGCTCGGAGGGCCATGGCGTTCCTGCGAGCATGCTCTGCACAGAACGTCACTCTAAAGAACACAGAAGAAATACAGTCAATGGAGAAGAGAGATTTGACCAAGCAGCTTGGATTTGTTAATGTGTGTTTGTGTCTTCCATAGTAAGAGTTGCAGTTGATAATAAAGCTGAGGTTCTACTTTTTCTGACTTGTTAAAAGCAGAAGAATATTAGATTGTCCACACACCCGTCTTTCCTCTCGACTTTTGGTGCAGCGTTGGGGCAGCGCTTGCCGTTCTTTGCAGAGACATAGCTGCACTGCTTGTACGGAGAGTTCTTATCCTCCAGGATGTGTTTGACGCAGAAGTCCAGGCCCTCCAGGCGAGGCTGAGAGCATGGTCGCTGTGTGAAGGAGCAGGCCTGGGGCTCCTGGGGACGAGGAGTCTGTGTGACCCGGTTCCGACTCGAAGGTAACACGTGGATTCGTATCCTATTCATTGCAAAGTCTGGGGGAATAAAAGGAAAATAAAGTTAAAACAACGAGGCATTTAGTTTAGTTTTAGTGGGTAACACTATCTTTTCTTGGACTTCTCTATTGTGAAGATTTCCTGTTCAGGGAGTTGTAATATCAGTAGGACAAACCCATACTTTAAATAACCAGATATTTTCTGACATTTAATAGAAGACAAATATTAAAAGAAATACGAAAATGGAGACTAGAACTGGCAAACTAATAGATATTAGTTAAGTGGCCGACACATTTAATTAAACAAGTATTTATTTATTTTTTAGAATCAAAAATCTTTTGACAGCTGCTGCCATTCCCACAATAAAAAAACTGAAATGTGAGAATGTCTCATTGTCGGCGTGTGTGCCTAGTGTTGAAAGGTGCTATATAAATAAACATGCCTTGCCTTTTATAAAATGGAGGCTAGGGGTACACTATTGTCACTAATTGCCAATAAAACTGACTGGAATAAATGTGTGTCTGTACAAAAAAGTGTCTTTCATGCCCATATTTGAGAGCCCTTAAGTCACACATTGGGGGAAGAGGTAACAGATGTTGAAAGTAAACCAATTAAGAAACGCAGATGGATAACTACATAAACACAATATCAAAAGCAGTGGTAACAACCTGGTCCAATTATAAATATTATTGTTAACGTTAGAGAAGGCGTTGGCAGGTCAGGTGGCTTGTCAGACACGACTATGATTAACTTGCTATAGGTTAATATTGTTTTATTTACATACAAAACTTCCATACATCGCAAAAAAGTAAATACGTAAAATAAATTGTAAACAATTATTTTTAGCTAATATTACAAATGTAGCATAAGTAAATGTCTCTGTCTTTGAGAATTCTAAGCAGGCGCCACAGCAGCGTTCAGCCCGCCTCTCTTTACTGCGTCACTCTGCCCTCTTTCAGTTATGGCGTCGCCATCTTTGTTAGCAGTTGCTAATATTAGCCAACCGCCGTTTCTCACAATTTGTGGCCAATAAGTGAGTTGTACTGACCGATAGTAACACACGGTCGTTCTCTTCACATTGTAGACAAGGCTCTTTACAAGAAGATGCAACTATCTGCATTTTTTGCTCAGAATTGCTTACCTTCTTCACGACGGTCCTACAGGGTTTAGCTTCCGTGGCACACTACGTCGGTTTGTCCAACTGCCACAACAGCCTCTGCAGAATCTTCACTGATCCCGCCCACCGAGAGCTCTGATTTGTCGAAGCTCAGGGCATTTCATTGGTCAATCAATCTGCCAAAGCAAGTGGCATCAGCTGCAATCATTTTACACCCAATATGTTTTACACCCACAAATTAATCCTGCAGAAGTGACGTTTTATGAAACACGTAACGAAGCGGGAGTTTTCTTAAAATATTTATTGTCTTTTTATTTGAGAATAAAGCAACCACATTATATAAAAAAGAAAAGGGTTCACATATAACGTTTTAACAGAAAACAAAAATTCCAAAACGTTTCATTTCCAGACCTGAGTGTCACTTAAAACACCAAGACGTGAAAAATAACAAAGCTTATTAAACTTATTGGAGCTATGTGACTTTGCATTGTTAGGTTGCATGTGTCTTTCATTTGTTTCACATTCAGGTTTTATTGAAATGTGTGTCCTTTTTTATGACTTTCCTCAAAGCATAACGTTGAAACCTAAATTTGAAGATGTGTTGGGATCAAATAAAAATACTTTCAGAGAGGGCAATATATTTAAGGTGTTCTAATCTAATAGTCCAACTGTTATACATGTAACACTTTGTCAATTGCATTGTAGGCAAACCTACTGATAAATATTCAGTGCATTTACTGTTTCCCTTTTACAAGAGTTGAAAAACCAATAAAACCTCTGCTGCCTGAGCAAAGGGCTGTACCATATTAAACTTATATTTCATACAATGAAGGGCACAAAAATATTTTACAATTGTATGGCTGATGATTTGTTGTACTGCATTACTGTAGACTGCCTAAAACAAATGAATTGTGGATTACAAACTGTTAAAAAGAGCAGGTAAAGAGCAGTAATACTATACAATCAAAACCACATAAAGATAATATGAATTAAATGTACAGATGATACCCGAATCTTTGCCAACAAGTGGCCCCTCCTCCACTATACTTTTCACATAATTCATGTAATTTATTTCATGCTCATGACCCTGTAGTGGAGGTATGTCGATAATCAGTTTGACGCATTTGATTTACACAACTAAAGAACACGTGCAAACTTGTTTAATCATGGCTTACACATGGATTATAAACAACAATCTGAAGCTTAATATCCACTTTTTTTTGTATTAAAAGTATGAAATTAAAGACAGCTTCAACATGATTAAACCAGACGTGCATGAATTGACAAGCGTACACTGGAGTTCAGACATTTTCAAAGGAAACTGCATAAATGAAAGACTATAAAAAAAAACAGACAAATGGCTTTTGATTACTTTTTGATATAGTGTATTGTGAATACTTTTATTGTAGATTGTGCTCAATATGGTCACTACAAAGTGAGCACCAGCAGAAAAAAGTGTTTTCTTAAATCCGACAGTTTCAGGGCTCCGCAGATAACACAACTAAAAATGTTGTATTGAATCTGCCTATTTGTTTCTCTGCATTAAACCACACAAAGACCCGCCCTCCAGAGGAAACTGATGAACAAGTGACATTTCTTCTCTAGAGGGACTTCTTTGTTGCAATTCCTTCATTGTGACCATACCAGAGATATGTTTGAACTCTTTGAACCCTTTTGATAAAACCATAGATGTACATCCTTGGTATCAACCTTGCCCATTAGTGTAATTATTAGAGAACTTAATATATGAATATTTTACAACCATTTAAAACAATGACTGTAACACTCAAAAAAATCTAAAAAAAAACAAGCTTCAGTAATTTACATATTTTTTTGCGTTTTTTTCATAATAAATGTAAAAAATATTTCACGTTTGTTTTAAACATTTTACAGTCTTTGTACAGGTTTTGCCAGATAATGAAGAAAATAAAATACATAAACACCAGGGGTGGGCGGGCACCTTTTTTTGGGGTTATGGCTGTTTCAAAAGACAAAAATATTGAAAAGATGGCTTTGGAGACATGCACTCTCAAACTAGCCTGTACAGTCTTGATGAAGAAATATCCCTCCGCCTAAAAAAAGAACAAAGAGGGAAACCTTCAAAAAAAAAAAAAAGGTAGAAAAGGGGACTTTTTTTCTTTTTCTTAAAAAAGCATTCAATGAATAAATAACATACTATAAAAACATTATAAAAAGACAATCGGTAATGAGACCTAACATCTTTTAGTTTCCCCATGATTTCAAGACAATGACAGTGTTGCTAAAAAAATACCAGGTCCCCTCCTCACATTTCGTTTGAGTTAAACAGAAAGCATTGTATCTACACCTTCCTGTATCTTTTTTCTCACATTTTGCAAGCTTTAAAAGCATTTCATTATTGCCCCCGTGTGAAGTGGAAAAAAAAGAACGATGTATCACGCACGCCAGTACATTTCACTGCTGTCACACTGAAACCTATTCAAAATGCTGGGCGAGTTGAACAAAAAAAATACCATATGTAACAAGATGTCAAAGTACAATGTACATAAGAAGCCTCCTGATCAGGAAGTTATTTGGGCAGCGGAGGCAGTTGGGGAGGCGGTTCTGAAGGGAGGGGTGGTGGCCTGCCGTTTCCTCGGGTGCCCCCGCTGAACCGGTACTCCCCAAACTGGGTTCTGTAGTCAAACATGGACGGCTGGGCTGGCTGGACCCCCTGTGCGCTCAGAAGAGAGTTTAGCATTTCAAAAGTGTCTTGGTACTCGTTCGACTGGGGCCCGCCCACCGCACCGTGTCCGTTCGTGTCCGTTTTGTCGCCTTTCGAGAAGCTCCCTTGGTGGTGGGAGAGGCCCAGGGCGGGGAGAATGTCAGGGTTGTGCCCCAGAGGTTGCCCGGAGGAGGAAGACAGGGACGGTATCTGGTAAGCGTTCCTGGTGGACTTGCTGACTTTGGAGGCAGCGTTAGGGCCTGCAGTGGGCTCCTGGGAATGCGTCCTCTTACGAGACGCCGAAGAAGACGAGGAGTTTGTTCTAGAGGAGTCGCTTGGGACCTTTTTGCTGCCTCCGACAGCCCCGCTAGAGTTAGATGAGTGTTTGTGTGAGGAGGAGAGAGAGGCACTGGTGGAGGAGGAATGGTGGTGGTGGTGATGGTGGTGGTGGTTCGAGCGGTCCCTGTGTTTGTCTCTGCTCTTGCCCTCCTCTCCTGAACTCCCCCTCTGCTTCTCAGGCACTCGTATTCTGACCTTGATGTCCTGTTCCTGACCCTTGGCGCTGCCTCCTCCCCCGGCTAAGGGGAAGCGCATTTTCAGAGACGTCCTCTCGTGCCTCTCCTTCTCCAGGGGGATTTTCAGGATAATGGGCGAAGGGTTGTCAGAGGAAGAGGAGCTGGACTGCTGGTGATGATGCTGCTTATCCTTCCTCTGCTGCTGTCCGATGAGAGCCTGAGCAGCGTTGGCATAGTCCCTCTTCACGCTGGCTTCCATGTTCTCCAGCTTCCTCTTTTGGGCGGCAAGGACGTCTGCATTCTTGGCCCGGTATTCACTCAGCGACACCTTAGCAGGAACATGCACCTCGTTGTTGAGCTCGGATGCAGGCTGACCTTTTCCACTCCACGTGGCGGCGCTGCCAGCCGTGTCCTTGTCACCGGCAGACGAGGAAGACGAGGCGTCAGGGGGCGCAGAGAGACTCATCAAGCCTGCCACGGTGCTCTCTGATGAGGCCATGGAGATCATGCTCATCATGGTGTCCCTCTGGTCACCCTCCTCCTGGACTTTGGGCTTGGCTTTTGGTGTTGAGCCTCCAGCCTGGTAGCCAGAAAAGAATTACAGAGAGGTCAGCCAACAGTAAATGTCTGTACAATGCGAGATGACTTGGCTTTACTCCTTTGGTTGCAAATGAGAAATAAATCTGTACCTTCCAGTTGCGAATCCTTTTCAACCTGCTGGGTGTTTTCTCAAGAATCTGCAGGAACTCGTGTGTGAGCTCTGAAAGAAGATATAAAAACGAGATCAGACTGACCTGTAAATGCTTTCCAGGCACATTCAAAATAAACTGAATTTCGGGGTCATAAACAGCACATACCATCCAGCAGCTCAAGGGTAACTGTGGGATCGACATACTCCCACCAGTGTTTGCCGTCTGTAGACACGGGGATCTCCCAGTTGGACCATTTGCAGGCGAGGTGGATGCACACGCAGGCCACGACCGGCGGACTGTACTGCAGGCAGAACGTGGTCAAGTGGAGACTACGTGGCAGGATACATCCCAGAAGGCAATCAAAAAACAGAAACAGGAGAAGAGAGAGAACAGACATGTCGAGTTAGAGGATTATACACAAGTAATGCGGTGGTGTAAATGATGATACAAGATGTAAGCAGTGAACTGTGAATATACCTGTTTGTGGCCATAAAGTAGGATGTTTGAGCCAGATCCTTACTTGCTGGAACAACAATAGAACAAAAAAACACACTTAAAACCTGCGATAGTGATTCAGCGTGCAAACACACAACGATAGTGAAATATACAAATCAAATTCGCTAAATTGAAGAGTTAATGCTCACCTCTAACAAGCTGAGTGCACTTGACAACATGAGTATGTGGATGATCAATGGTGATTTCAAAAGCTGTAATAAAAAAAAAGGACAAAAAGAGACTCGATAAATGAAATGCAAAAGTCAAACTAACATTTGCACCACACAGATTTCTCCCTGAAAACCAGAAAATGAATAATGTTATTCAAAACTATGTGTTGTGGAGAATAACGTGGAATATCACTTTGCATGGGCTCTTCCAATAACATCCTAGACGATGTGAAAACAACAGATGAGTGTGAAAAACATTAAAAGGCATGCCGGTACAATTATTAAAACTCTCGCTTTGTCTGATGACCCTGAATCTTGTTTAAAAAGTAAAAACACAATTTGGTGTTTTATTAAAAAGCACTTTTATCTTCTTCAACTGCCTACTATAATGGGAAAATGTGACCGGAGTGATTCTAAAAGCCATTGCTTATGATGCATCAACATAGTCCTTAAAGAAATGGTTTAAAAAAATATGTAGACAAAAGAAAAAAGGGGAGAGTGGAAATGTTAAAAGTTATGGACATAATAGAAACAAAAGCGTCATCACTGCAATGCAACAGTGAGAAAGTGCTGTTAATATGAAGCCTGAATGTCTCTTTCCTGTGCTGCTAACCGTATATGGGCTTTCTGTGGACAAAGTAAAACAGGTTAGCAGTATTTTTTTTTTAAATCACATGTGTTGCTGGAGGGAAATTTAAAGGGCCCAGTTTCTTCCATCCCAACTTACCCAAGGTCTGGAGTATTATGCTCTCAAGAATGACCAGGTCTTGGGCTTGTTGCAGGTAGGCCTGAAGTTGAGAGGACAGGCACGTTACTCACTAGGAGGCCTTCATCCAAACACATTTAAACCACCTTTCATATAGAGCTGAAGAAGCCTCACAGATAAGTGGTGAGACAATTAGAAGCTGCACACTGAGCAGTACAGATGACCCATATGTCAAGAAGGAACAACACATGAGGAAGCTTAAACCAAAACACCCCTCACACAAAGTATTTGTACACAGTTTAAATGCAATTTTAAAAAAGAAGAAAAAGCTGAACTTCAGTTGTTAAGTAATTGCCAGAAAAAAGTCCCATAAAAGAGCGCCTGCATCAAAGCTGCTATTAAAACAACATTTTCTAGGAGAACAAAGATGATTCTCTCTTGGATTAAACTGAAAGTGGTAGCGCAAGGAAGCGTTACAGCCAAATCATTGCTTCTGAACAAACACAAAAATCGCTAAAACACATAACACAATATCTTCACAAATTCTACTGATAAAATAATACATTTCCCCTTAAAGGTCCCATGTCATGCTTTTCCGGTTATTACCCGTCCCCTTGTGTGTTATGAAGGTTTTTCTGCATGTAAACGGTCTGCAGAGTCACAAACCCTCAAAGTACACCCTGTAGCGAGTAAAACTCTAACACAGAAAAGACCTGTCTATGCTGCCCCAGAACGCCTCCTTGGAGACTTTTTCTTCCTGGGTACAGTGACGTGCCCATACCCAAATGGACCAATCCGCGGAGCCGTTACGTCCGCGGAGCCGTTACGTTAAGACACACACACTCAATCTTTTCTCAGCTGCAGCTCCGCTGATTTCTCCTCCCCGAGACGGCGGGACGTGGCGAGGCTGTGAGTCGGTGTGTGAGCACACACACAAACTCCCAGCCAGGCTGCGTGTGTGTGTGTGTGTGTGTGTGTTTGGGCTGGGTTTCGCTGTGTCTCGCAGACGGCCACTGGGCTCATAGGGAGGGGGGGGCAGGAGCTCCAACAAGCCGTTTAGGACAGAGAGTGAATACACATACTATACAGAGATGCTGTATGAGAAACCAATGCGAGTTTGGAAAATTGCACAATATAAATCTATTTTAGTAGACCTCAACAATGGAAATATGATCAGTAGAAATGGCCATGACATGGGACCTTTAAGATGTAATGATTACATCTCTACCACATCAGGTAATCTTAGGAGGAGATGGAGCACAATTGCTGGTGATTTTGACCAAAGCCCAATACTTACATCACTGCGTACATCTGGTGAAGGATCCTGAGGATTGAGGCATGCATGGGCAACCTTGATAACATGTTCCAACTTTCGGGGCTGCTCCTCAACCTTTGCAGCGAGGAAGAGTGCGGCTGGAGAAATAACCTGGTGGGGGTAAAACAAAAATAAGTTCAACACAGGAACTAACTCGCCACTGTGTCTGAGCTTAAAGAGACAACAAATACTTACATTTCTGTGAAATCTGGTGAAAGACTGGACCATGTAGAATCGATGCATGTACACAATGGCTGTATTAATTGTAAGTTGGGACCTGATAAATAGGAGTTGAGGAATAATGTAGCAAAGAGTTCAAGTACATCACAACACCGGCATTAGGTCTAGTTCAGCATTTGTTCTTAAGGGGTCCTTAACGACAACATCAATTATTACACATTAGGAAAATACATGCATTGTACCAGATGTAGGTACTGGACTATTTCTCAAGCCCCTTGGTAGGTCAAAACAAACACTAGTTCAACTAATGCAGTTACACAATTTCATGCAATACATACTAAATCTCAATAACGGATCAAAACATACATAAGTGTATTCATAAATACATCAAACACTTTGCAGAATTTCTATATGTACATCAGAAATAGGACCTGGGTCATGGGTCTAAATGTAAAATAACACAAGTGAATGAGCTTTAATACTGCTAATGACTTTTAAAACTCAATAACACACCAGTGGCAGAGCAACAGCTAGCTTCACATGTTAGCCGAGAACGGTTGTTTTTGCAAATGAAGTGGTCAAATCTGAAGTATACACATTAATACACTAAAACATAATATGTGTTAACCTTGTGTACCCACTTTAGCTACACATGTTCTTTACTAGCATTCACAGTCAGAGGTAAAGCTAAAGCTAACGTCCCGAAGGCCCGCCGACCACACAGGCCTTCGTGGTTTAGCCAACTACGCCGCTCTTAGATAACGCTTGTAAGCTAACCCTAATGTTGTAAAACCACAAACCACCGCTTGAAACTGATGTAAAACCTACAAACAAACTAAAAAACCTTCGAACTAGACACAACAACAAGTAGCAGCCATGCTCTCCGCCGAACCGGCTTCACGGGAAGCTAAAGTTCGCTAGCCAACAAGCTAATGATGCTAACCAACAAGCTAATGTGAACGCAAGTCGTTCCTCCGACAAAAGATACACATTGAGCCGCTGTCCCATGTCCTGCAGCAGGTTGGCCGCCTGTTGTCTGTAGGACAGCTCCTTGTCCGGATCAAGTCCAGCTCGCTTAGACGGGTTGTTGTCGATCTGTTCCCGGGTGTAGTACCATTTGTTGTTACAGCTTGCAGGGAGAGAACCAAACGAAGCCGCCATCACTGAGAAGGACGATAGTTTAAAATTTCTGCGCGTCACAGGAACATACGTCACAGCCCGGGTAGTAAGGTCGGTGCAGCTCTGCCAGTGACCAGCAGGGGGCGATAAAACACCACATTGAAACATTAATGAGAACCTGTGAATGGAAAACCTTTGTATGTAATGTGTAGTATGCGAAATTATTTTTACTATTCTTTGGCAACAATATATTTTAAAAGTCAGCTCTTCTGCACATGCAAGACAAACTCAAGTTTCTTCCTTTTGAATAGAACAAATAGTCACCCTGAGTGTAAACAATAATTAAGTTAATGTAGATGTGTAATATCTATATTTGCATTGTGAGGACTGAATGTGGAAATGAGTATCAGAAAATAGCAACGGTGGGAGAAGTACTGAGATATTGTACTTAAGTAAAAGTAGAAGTACCAGAGTGTAGGAATACTCTGTTACAAGTAAAAGTTCTGCATTCAAATGTTACTCAATTAAAAGTAGAAAAAGTATTAGCATCAAAATAAACTTGAAGTACCAAAAGTACTCATTATGCAGATTGGCCAATCTCAGAATAATATATATTAAATGTTCTGATTATTATTCATGCATTAAAGTGTTATCAAAGCTGGTAAAGGTGCAGCTAGTTTTAATGACTTTGTATACTGCAGGGCATTACATTACATTACATGTTACTTGTTAGACGCTTTTATCCAAAGCGATTTACATACTCAATACTGTGGGCAATCCCCACAGGAGCAATTTGGGGTGAAGTGTCTTGCCCAGGGACACAACGACATGCTGACTGCAGTGGGACTCGAACTTGCTATCCTCTGATTTAAGAGTTGATTATATTTCACATTAAAAAAAATCCAGATCTTCAAAGTAAGTATAGGTATTAAATAAATGTAGTGGAGTAAAAGTACACCATTTACCTCTGAATTGTAGTGGAGTAGAAGTACAAAATAGCATTACATGGAAACACTCAAGTATCTCAACATTGTACTTAAATACAGTACTAGAGTAAATGTAGTAACTAAACACCCCTCAAAAATAGTTTCCATACTATTGGAATTCTGTCTGAAACTAATACATTCAATTGCAAAATATGCTACTCAGATTAATGTCTAGTGACAGTAGTGTGTCCAGTGAAAACAGTTACGATACGTTGAGAATGAATCGCGTTTTCTTCGGTTGTATCCTAACAGTTAATTATATCTATATGAATTGAAATAAAAAGCGAAGTTTGCTACCTCTAAAGCTTGGTTAAAAAAGTGATCTGGATACATTATTTGTAATTTACATTGCTACTCCGGCTTCTTTTTGACATAATGGTGCATTGTAAACCCTTTTGGCCAGGCACATTATCTATCCAAGATATTAACTATAAAAATTATGAACTACTTTAAGCATTACATAGGCTTTTAATTATGTGTATCTTCTGTCACTTATCAAGTCCAGTCAGTGACTCTCTATGGCAAACTGTGGATAGAATAAATATACACACAGATACAATAAATAAAGTATTTTGACCAAAACAACAACCAAGAGTCAAAAGAAGCAGATATCCAAAAGTTGAAAACAATTTATTTTAAATCACAAAATGTTATAAAATGGACAGATAACTGAAGCAGTGTACCAATGGAATCCCAAAGATAAAACACAGAAAAAACAATAGGCTGTCTGATAAATCAAAAGTACAATTAAATACACAGGTACAGACAAATGAGTGAGTTAAAGCACTTAAAACAGACAGAAAAATCATAGTTCTGTATTTACTTGTGGTATGTATAAGCGTATTAAGATACTAGTTTGCTAAAATCTAGGATGTGACACAGAAAGAGTTTAGTTTCTATTTTTATATATCCAATAAATTGCCTCACTGGTCTTTATGATGCTTTGTCAAGACTCAGTTTTAAGTTATGACCATTTAAGAGGACTTTAATCAAGTGGCCTTCACACTTCCTGTAGATTCTCCCAGTAAACACATTGTTTTGTTTGCCTCCACTTCCTCATTTGATTTGGGACATTTCTGGTGGATGAGTGCCCCATTATGATTTAAGATTGAACGGCACATATTTCCTGAGACTTAGAGATCAAATTATTTCCCCTAAACAGCTGGAAGGATTTGACTATGAAGATACTGCAGGTTTCTGGATAAAGAAGACTGTAAATGAACTTTAATGCAGCTTTGAAAAAACAGTGACGCGTGAACATTGATGTTAACAGAAAGAAACTGATGATGCCTTTGCCGTTTATAAACACCTCTCAAATTGAATAGAAAAAGTAAGATAAATGAAAAAGATTGAATTCAGTTGCGGGACTGAAATGGTGCTCCAGTCGGTTTGAACTAAACGTTTTGACATTATTTTCTTGTTTGTTTTAAAGGATCTAACTCATCCATTTATCTTTGCATCTAAATTATACTTTTGATTGACAGGAGTCCTATCGGGAGACATTTGTTGTCTTTCGGGATCTCGGTTGTGCAGTAATGAAAATGCTTTACAAAAAAACACAGGCTCTAAAATGTTTTTCACACAATCCCAAATCTTTCCGCACGCTTCATTTTCTTTGCCTGTAGGAAAAGAGAAAGAACAATGACATTAATACACAATATCTATTTCTTGTTTCACTCGTTGCATTGTAGGAACATAGACTGCCTAACCAGTAACATGCTAATCAAACCTACCTCTACTTCAGGTGAAGCGGGTGTAGCGGCTGTAGCGACAGCAGCGACTGCAGCAACTGCACCTGTTGAAGCTGCTGTGACCCCGAACCGCTCCTTCCTCTTTTTCAGCTTCTCATCCTCTTCAATCTTAAAAAAAACCAACATATTTAGTATCACTTTCCATGCCAAATGTAAGAGTTGAAACATGATTATATTGAAGCTCGTCGTCACCTTTTGTGAAACGGAGGAGACGTTCATGCCAAATCGTTCTGCTCTCTTCTTCAGCTGATCAACGTTCACCTTCATGAGACATCAGAAAGGTTTTAAATCAACATCGTGTCATTGAGCAGAGGAATTAAAGAAATGTGTCGGGTAAATGATGCAACACTTACAGGAGCTTTAGGGGCCGCAACACCGCCTGCTTGGGAGACAAGGAAATACAGTGTTGGGAAACAGCATAAGAAAATATCACAACATAAGCTTCAAAAGTAAAAATGTCAAATGAGAAAACTTTCACGAGGCGTCAACTACACATCTTTTTTGTTTTGGTTCCTTGAGAAGATAGAAATTCAGTTGAGGAAAAGACTAACCTGCAGTGGGAGCTGGAGCGGACTTCTCAGTGGTTTCACCAAACCTAAACAAAAAGGAGCATCCTTGTTTTAACATTGCTGAATACATTTACTAGTATAAATCCAGTGGACTAATAACTGCAGTATGGGGAGGGCACAGACTTTTATTTTGAAGTGTACAGGGTCACATTTCAAGTATTATGTATTTGTCTTCGCTTCCCGGAGTGGTATTAGCTGACTTTTAAAAAGGGTGTAGTGCAGAACATGAAAACATTCCCAAATAAGACATGAAGTTATTTAAAAACAAATAGAGTGCAGGGGGCATTTACTGAGTGCATGCCAGATAGACCCCATGAATGCTTCGTTTCAGTTTTTTGTATTTATTTTTAACACCGTAACTGCTCATATGCGTTTTTTGTTTAAAGTATGTTTTGTTAACCTTGGAGTTTTTAGTAACTGGGTGTTTCTCAATGTCGAGTAAAGCTGCTCCAGAGCCACTATTTCAAGCATACTATGTCATCGAGTGCCGCCGAAGGACTGTTCCAATCTCCAGTATACTTGGAATTCTACCGAGCCCGGCGTACTTCGTAGCGAGACATTTTGAGGCTGCACATGTGTAGACTCCGCGGTCTTAAAATCCCCACAATGCTTTGCGCACCGACCAATTTCCCCAAATCTGTGGTGGAAAATATAAGGCGGGGCCTCTCATATGACGCACACCTGCACACTTGCTCGCCTGTTCCACTCTTCGTTTTCCAAATGCCAGGAAGTATTCTTGCCTCGCTTCTGAAGCAAGTGACTCGGAAGACATGTGCTACCAAGCAAGCGTACTCGACATTGAGAAACACCCACTGTTACATCCCCTCTAATCTCAAGAAGGACCACTGTTATTATAACTCGTAAGAATAACGGCCAAATCACAGAAATAAAATAGTAAAAGCCGGAAGTATCCTGGAGAAGTCCTACCTTGCTGCACGGATAGCCTTTTTGCTTTCAGCTGTGGCCGGCAGGTTGAAGCGTTCAGCTCTCTTCTGTAGTCTCTGCTCAACAAAAGGGAAACGTTTGAATCAGAACACATGCTGCTGCTGATCAATATTTGCATTTTCTCTCTTCTTTCACATGAGTGCTGAAAGTTACCGTGGATAGATTATCTTGGTCTTTAAAGATCAGAGATCACTTCCACATGATGCATTAACGTCTGTATTCAAATGTGCAGATTAAAGGCTTGTCATACGTACTTCACCAGTAGATGATGGAGGAACGATTTTCACCACCTTCTTATCTTCAGCTCTGAAAGAAGTGACACAAAGAAGTTAGATGACCAAAAATGGATTAGTGGTGATAGCTAAAGACTCGTTTTAAACCTGAGTTTATGAGTATGGGGCTAACTATGTCAGACATTTAAATACAAACCCTGATAACTAATAATACCCGATATGAAGTCATGTCAATGAGATGTATGCATTTTGGGCATAACATTACATTTAAACGCCTTCAATTCAAGGTGGAAGACTGTTGTTTAAAGTGCCTTCAAACTGTCAGTAGCAACAAAAAGAAAAGAGCTTTAAGTGGAAAAATTGGTGTCCCCATTATTCACTCAGAAACAGAGTGAAGGTTTCTGGTTGTTGAAGCTTCAAATATATTTTTAAGTCAAAACTCCAGCAACACATTCGGGGTTTGTGTTTGATGACCTTAGTCACACACAAAATAGGGATCAGGTAAAAAAAATACATAAGTAGCATGAAATAATTGTTATGTTTATTTTTTTCTGTATTAAACTAAATACAAAAATAACGTACGTCTCTTCCTCAGTAGGCTCCTTCTCGCTTTTCAAATCGTCTGCACCATCGACACCATCGACCTTAGTGAATTCCTAAAAAGAAGAAATGTAAACGTTTACAACGACTTCACAAATTAAATGGATCAGATATTAGAGGGCGAGTGAAAACATCAGCCATCACATTACCTCCGTGTCCTCTGCCAACACATCATCGACATCAACATCTTCCTCTGTTGGGATTAAGGGAAGGAGACGTTTAGAACCAGCAGAGAGCAGGAACAAAAAACAGTTAGAGATATCCGTGATATTGATCGGAATAGAAAAGAGATACCACCATCTTAAATCAAAAATGTAGGCAGGCAAATTAAAATAAAATAAATCAAGTCCATGCGTTTCAGATTTCACTCCATCCACCAAGTTAACCAAGTATAAATACCATGTCTAAGTGTGAAGTCTGTCGTCTCACCGTGCTCCTCCAGGTACGCCTGCAGTCGGGCGATGAGCTCTCCTTTGTTTCCCTTGGTGTCCAGACCTCGGGCCTCACACTCCTGCCTCAGTTCAGCAAGCTGAGACAACAAGAGGAACAGCACTTTCATTTGATTGTGTGCTGATAAGGGTTTGTAGTCGCCTGCATGAGACTGCCCATCTCCTCCCTGTCTGATCACAGAGCTATCTAGTCTCTATCTAAGCTCCTTGTTAGCAAATCACTTTATTTTACCAAACACATCTGGTTTGATGTTGCTTCCCTTTCCTTTAACGAGCTGGGTGGTAACCTGCGCAAAGTTTCTTGAAAATATTAAAACAATTGACTTGTTGAAATTAAAGTGATTTGACCAAAAGATTGAAAGCCTGTTCACGTTCCTTCCAAAATTATCCACATGGAGATACCACCAAATGAGAAAAAAAGTGTGTAGTTAATAGAAGTTTACTCTAAACACAAGTGTTTATAAGACAAGATCACAACAAAGTCCATTCAGTAGCTATACTGGAAATTCAGTAGACAAAATTCCATGAATGTTATACGAATAAGAATTTATTTGGTCAAGGACAACGTAGTAAACATTTTTTTCTTATCATTTAATGTGGCTATTATTTCTATTATCAATCATGTGTCCTATTATAAATACAGCGGGAGAATTTGAAGTTGTTTTGTGGGATAAACAGTCCAAAACACTAAGAGGAACTCTCTGTAAAACCTGAGTGGACAAAGAAAAACTGATAATACTCACATTTGCGAAGCGGATACTACGGTATTTTTTGGCATGATTTAAGCATGGCAAATTCAATGATATTTTCTGTGAGCATTTTAAGGACTAAGCTTTGCAGTAGACCGTTTTTCAGGGAGCTTTTGAAATAGCATCCCAGAGAAGTAGTCATTACATTTGCCGGCTAATGTTTGGCTAACATGAATTATGACCGTGGGAGGTCAAACATGATGTTGCGAATTTAATTGGGCAGAGATGGCGGGACACTTTACATCCAACCGCAGGAGATACATTTCCGTTTCTAAATAAATACCACACCTCTTTGTGTTAATATAAACTAGTTCCCAACAGCTTATTGTTGTTAACGGTGTGTTTGGAGCGTGTCTCGGAGCGGTTTGCTCGGCTAGCTCCGCAGCTGAATGAACAACACGCCGGTTGTTAGCCGGGCACATTTTATACTTCAAAAACCCTATTTATCCGTATCCTTCTTCTCTGGAATTACAACTAAAGATTGTTACAACATATTACGAACTAATAAAAGCACCCAATGTTTGTAATAATTACATATTTATTCTCAGTACCTACCTTAAGTTTCTGGAGCTCTATCACTTCAGCCATCTTTCTTTGTTGATGTATCACTTCCTGGTCACTTCCTCCAATCAGAGTGCAGCGTCTCTCCTTCTGAACCCCTGGGCGCTGACTCACTTTATTTCACAGCGCCACCAGATGGACGGACTGACGGACTGCATGTTGCTGTTTACGCTTGGGACACTGGGGACATGTCCCCACAATTTAAGGTTCAACTCCAGGACAAAGACATTCTTAGGTACTTCAGGGATGATAGTATGGATGCGGATTTTGTCTTTTTTGTGCAGTTAATTGTATTTTTAGGGAAATTTCATATCCATAAAAATAAATGGGCTGACTCCAAACCAAATTTTGTACATTTCTATCCATAAGTGAAACAATATATTAGCACTATAAAAAACATTAGGAATAAGAAGGCAATCAAAACTAATTTGATATTTAAAAAATATTTAATCTGAAGGTATCAAAATGTATTTTTCTTTCCTAATTTTCTTTATTTACTGCATGTAATGTCTTGTTGCTTTGTATGTCTGCCCCTGGATTTGGTTGTATGTACAAATGTATGATGTGCATGTATGATATGGAATAGATGAATAACACAAATTATTTAAAAAAAACATGTCCCCACCACTTGTAAAAAAGTATAACTTAGAAATGTTCTGAAAATGGCATGCCCAAAGAAATGTTATAAACAAGAACACTGGTTTAGTGTCAAGATGTGCAGTTTGGAAACGTTTGTAAACTTTAATAGAAAATGTAAAAAAACAAACATTGCTCCCTCTGTACAGCAGCAGGGTGCAGGACAGGTAGTGCTTTTTCATTTAGTGCAGTGCCTCTCATCCTCATTTATACACTGAATACACGGGCAGTGAGCTGTGGTGTTCCACAAGGAAGCATATTAGGTCCGTTACTGTTCCTAATTTATGCAAATGACATGTCATCAGCATGTGACTGCAACTTGTTCCTGTTCGCGGACGACTCAGCCCTGCTGGTCTCTGACAGGAGCAGATTGCAGGTTGAAAAAACCCTCAGCTCCGAGCTCGGCAGAATCTGCACCTGGCTCGCCGATAATAAATTATCATTACACCTGGGTAAAACAGAGTCCATTCTCTTCGGTTCGAAACATAATCTCAGCAAATCCGACGACTTCTCAGTTGCAGTGGGTGACATTATTGTCACAAGTAAGAAGGAAATTACATACCTAGGATCTATTCTTGAGGCAAACCTCTCCTGTGACAAAATGGCATCCAATGTAATAAAAAAAGTCAATCAAAGAACTAGATTCCTATACCGGATCTCCTCTCTGGTAAACAAAAACACCCTGAAAACTCTGGCAGGAGCACTCATTCAAGGGTACTATGACTATGCTTGCACGTCATGGTACCATAGCACCTCCAAGGCGCTAAAAATAAAACTTCAAACATCGCAAAATAAACTGGTCAGACTACTGCTTGACCTTTCATCTAGAACCCACCTCACCTCTGCCCACTTTGACAACCTAGGATGGCTTAGAGTAGACGACAGAGTACAGCTACTTGCAATGGGCCTGGTCTACAAGATCCACTACACCTCTATGGTACCCATGTACATGTCAAAATTATTCCCAAAGGTCAAGGAATACCATGATCATAACACCAGAGGGAGCTCCACAAATCATGTAAAACCCAGATTTGGCACAAAAAAAGGGGAATACACGTTTCGCAATTATGCCACATCAAGGTGGAACGCTCTTCCCACAACTGTAAAGGAAAGTAAAACTATACTTACCTTCAAAACCTCTCTTAAAGAGCACCTTCGGGGGAAAGCATTGCAAAACTGGCCCCGGTAATGGTACAAATCTCAACCTGTCGTACAATGGACAGCTTCCCCCCCCCCATCTATGTATATACTCGCATTTTAGACTCTGTTACTAACTGTATATCTGTAGACTTGGTATGTCTTAAATGTCCGGTTAGGATGTATTAGAACGAAATCTAAAATGAAAATTGTAAATAAGCCATCTGTATGTAAAAAACCACCTGTATGTAAATTGTAAATAAGCCATCTGTATGTCAAATATGTCTTATATGTCTTAAATGATATGATGAATTGGAAATGGGGGACCCTGATGTAAACAAGACGAAAGTCTTTCTCTGGTCTGCATCCCCTTAACAATTGTATGTTTTGAGCTGTACTGTACTGTACCCAATATACAAGCTGTTAATAAACTTTTCAATCAATCAATCAATCAGTGTGTTAAGGAGACATTTCTGGAAAAAGATATCCAGTAACACGCCCCAAAACAGAGATTTAAACGACAATAAACAGGAAACGTTTGGACATTTCTTTCTGTCAAAACAGCAGGTGGGTCACATGATCTGTCCGAGAAGGTCAGCTGACTGGATCCGGCCAATAGGAACAGGTTAAAGAGAAAAAAAAGTCTATTAAATCGAGAAACGATATGAAGATGTAAGAAATGTTTTCTTGTGTCAAAATGTTCCAATAATGTGATTATATATACATCTTGTAGAACTCAAGTCCTTTTAGCTTTGTTCAATTGTTGCCTTTCTTTAACTTGAAAGCAGACTGCAATGCAATAATAAATAACGTCCCTGTCATAAAGTCAAGTTCACGCATCTCCTAAGGTTTGACTTCATTACAGTTTTTTTCAATTTCAACAGGGCTCATTTTCTCAAAACACTAAACACAATTCTCAAAACCACACACCCAAAGTGCAAACACCTCATATATCTTGCAAAATGAAGCACTGCACCCAAAACTACATCAACACTTACCAAAACCAAACTTTTGCACCAAATGGCACACACTTCACTTAAAGTACAAGACTCTTTGTCCAACCAACTACACACTGTGATGCTTTATCTAAAGCACACTTATCTTTTATGGTGATCTGTATGTAGAGAATTCTGCATATAAAGATTGTTCAAGTCTACAGAGATATGTGCAGAAACACAAATAGATTATTGTTATACTTTTATCTTTCTCCCAAACTAATTGGTGCAACATTCCTGCACAACACATAGTTACAGTTGTGTAAACACCAATGATGCCTTTGTCAAATACAGTAAAGTGAAAGGAAAAGTTTGAGGGAAAAGAAATACGAAACATATTTTTACAAAAAACAGAGGAGAGAAAAATACTTAGTCTGCATTTCACCACCTCACTGGGTCTGACCTCAGCTCCTTTATCAAGATGCAGAAGAAGCATCACCTGTAGCCTGACGGTCAAACAGCTTCAACCGTTATGCTGCAAATAACTCTTCATCTGACTTCAGTTCATCCTCCCTCTCTCTCTTATCCACCCTCTCTCTCTTATCCTCCATCTACCTCTTCCTCTTGCTGCTGTCCATATATCCATTGTTGTTTTTAAAAAGTTCTTACATGAAGCCTTTTTCTAGTGCTTACATCCTGATTGCTGAGTCAACAATAAAGCAGTTTGGTGTATACGGTCATGAGGCATGTGTATTTGTTGCTTGGTTCATGTAGGTAGCATTTTTAATGGCAGTGTTTTTAAAATGTCAAACAAGTGAATATGTCAGATTTCTGTGTCTTACTTAGAGAACCGTGTGCAGTGTTTTGCAAAAAAGTGCCAAGTTGAATTGCAAACTGGGTGCAGAGCTGAAAGTGTGTTTAGAGTGTTGGAGATTTGAGCTGAGGTTTTGCTCTTTGAGTGTGAGTTTAAATAATTATGCTTTATGTGAGATGTGTGTGTGTTAGCAACTGAAACTGTACTTCCTTTACTAGTAGTTCGGAGCTGTCTGCTACAACAGTCTGAGGGGACAGGACATATCTTTCAGCTGAAGACTGTTTTCAAATGTAGAGCAGGTTGTAAGCGAGGCTCCGTTTGTAAATGAGGAAACAGTTCAGAGTGTCTGCTCCTCCTCCTGGAATGAGTCAGAGTTTGATAAGCCCTCTCTCTTCTTCCTGCTCTCAGACAGCCAGCTCCACTCTGTATTTCCTGGCTCCTCCCCTTTAGATCCACACTGAGGAAGATGGGTGTAACCAACACGTAAAGTCCAAGAGCTGATAGGCCAAATTCACCGCCCACAGACATGTTGTTAAGATCACAGCTCATAGTTTCAGCTCTCAGGAAGTGAATGATGGGAATTATAGCTCTTTGAAGGGAGCCGGATCTTATGGCTCCGTTCCTTTCAAAGAGCCGTTTAAAAGAGCCGTTCAAAAGAGCCGTTTTTTAAAGGTTACTAGGTTTATCTGCAAAATAATCACCAGGATAATGATTGACTGTATTGCCAGACCTAATGTCAATAATCGGCATTGTAAACATGACACAAGGTGGCGCCATATCCATGTCATCATGTCAGTGAATGTACTTTGAATTTACCCTCTGTATGTGTTAAGTAAATAAAGTTGCCTTGCCTTTAATGAAATTCATGCAACTCTTAATATTAGATACTGTGTTTTTAAGTGGCGATGGAGATTATTTGTTGACCCTGCTTTAAAGGATATTTTGCCTTTACAAATGGTGCGCTTTATCACTGCCTGGGTTTTGGTTGAAGTGCATCCAAATGCTGCTGCATTTTCGCGTTTGGCTCATTTTCCACCCGAAAAACACGTCGTCTACCTGTCCTGTACCACTTGTTATGACTTCTCTCTCTCGCGTATTCCGTTAAGACTCACCCCATCTCACTCCTCGTGCCTCAGAGTAGGGGCGGGTCTTCAGAGAATACGTTTGGGGAACAAAATCAAGCTTTTTAAAAGGCGAGTGGATTTTGGCAGGGAGTGAGTGCGGATCAACGATTGAACGATAACAAGAACGGCTCTCACCAAGTAGGACTCGGTTCCCCTCGTTCGTACCAAAGAGCCGTTCAAAAGAATCGGCTCGTTCGCGACCGACACATCAACTCACACACTCGCTGCCAGTGAGAGGTGAAATGGCGCAGAAAGGAGTTCAGCTGGACCGGGAAATCTTATCTTGTCCGATCTGTCTGGATCTACTGAAGGATCCGGTGACGACTACCTGTGGACACAGCTACTGCATGAAGTGTATTAAAGGCTTCTGGGATGGAGAGGATAAGAAGAAGATCCACAGCTGCCCTCAGTGTAGGCAGAGCTTCACACCGAGGCCTGTCCTGCTGAAAAACACCATCATA